CTTCTAGCTCATTCCCAGTCCTCACAGATACTAACAAAGTAACATTTGCAAATTAGAGATGATATGGGAAGTCTATAACAAGGAGACTGGAAAAATTCAGTGTTGTAAGACTGATACCTGAAGAGCTGAGAAGGTAGATCAGCCCAAGCAGTAATGGAAATGACGTCCCAGGGTATCAGAGGAAGAAAAACCAACTTTTCTCAGCTGCTAATAAACCCTCAAAGGACAACATCCATCACAATTGGAAATGAGCACTGGTGAATTTGCATTCATCTGCATATTCCTCCTTTGAATCTCAGAAGCAGATTCTTATCTTTCCTCCCCTGTACCTGCTGCTTTCCCATCCCCTCTTATCTACTTTAGAATCTGGCTTCATCTCTCATTTCCTCCCTTCTATTCTTTAACCCTTTCATTTATGAATTTCAATTTATAAACTCACTAGAGTACCTCACTACCAATATTCCCATCTTCATCTTGCTAACTACCAGCTGCCACCTTTTCTTCCCTTTCTATTCAAAATGATCCAAAGATTCATCTAAACTCACTTTTACAGGTACCTTTCACTCACCTTCCCATCACTTACAATTGGTCTTTTACTGAAATTAGTGACTACTTTTAAGAGAAATATAAAAGGAACTCTCATTGGTTCTCACCTTTGAACTCTTGCTACACTGGGCAATGTTGATCTTCCTTTTCTAAAGTCCTTTTTTTTTTTTTTTCCTAGGGCTTCCAATACAAGACTTTTCCTAATCCCTTTATAATTCCTAGATCTACTTTTGGGTGCTGTCGTTTTCTATTTGCAACTTTGATATGTTTTGTTAAGCTCAGGTGTTGTGCTATTGTTAGGCTCTGAGCTACCCACTGTGTTGATTAGGGTTCTGCAGGCCAACAGAAGCAACACTGAAGACTGTCTAATCAAAGAAGCAATACAAGGGAACGGTGAAACATCAGTGTGCACTCTGGGCTAGAAGTAAAAATGTGGTAAACAGAAACTCCCATGGAGGAATTCACCCACTGCCCAAACTCCTGGGGAATTGTTTTGGAAGGACAGAAATGCCCTGACTATCCTTCATGTCTACCAAGCTTCAGTTTTCTGCTCATGCTTCTCACTGTGCACAGTGGTGCCTGGGGGATGCAGTCTCCACAGAGCAATCTCCTGAGATGCACAACAAAGCATGCAGGGTGGAGATGGAACATGCGTAGAAGAGCCAGCACACAAACACACTGCCTACCATCTCCTTCATTAGGCTAGAGTCTCACAAGACTGGAAAGATGCCACATTTTGGTGACATTTTCGTTCTACATAGACAGGACAGTGAAGACTCCACAACTTAATTTTAGTGTACAGTAAGTGCTATGAAGGAATAATTTAGGGTGGGAACTGAGGTACAGTGGTAAACCTCTCTCTGGCATCCTTGAATTTCCTATGTTAGCACCTAGTTTTGAGTTCCACCTATGCTTTCAATTCAGCTTCCTGCTACTTCACTTGGAAGACAGCAGATGATGGCTCAAATACCTGATCTCTGCCAGCTACGTGGGGGATCAGGATGGGAATTCCTGGCTCCTGGCTCCAGCTGTTACAGGCATTTAGAGAGTAGGCCAACAAATGGAAGATTTTTCTGCCACTCTACCTTTCAAATAAATAAGTGAATAAATAAATAGCATGTTGAAAAGAGAAGAAGAAAATATCAAGGACACAACAACTCTGATGTAGAGGGTAGTCTGGGAAGACATCCCTGCAAAAGTGACAGGAGTGCTTATAAGAAATGAGAAGGAAACCAGGCCTTCTAAGACCAGCAGCTTGCTCAAACAGGAGAGATCAGCAAACATCCTGGGGTGGAAACTTTGGCTAGAGCAGGAAACAGGAGGCTGGGCTGCTCATTTGGCTGAAAGGCAGGGTGGCAAGAGATGAGGCAGGAAGCTCGGGCAGAGGCCAGATCAACGAGGGACTTGTAGAGCAGGGAAGCAGTAAGGGCTTATCCCCAATACAATGTTAAGTTTTAGGCTGTTCATGGTGATTTGGTATATATGGGTCAAGTAAGGTGCATCTAATTTCCAATAGTATGATGCTGTGAAAAATAAACTGTGGTAAGATTTGTTCCATTGTCATTTGGGTTGTCCTGCCTAGAGCTCTTGTGCCCAGAAGACTTGGGTAATATCTTGGGTTGAGATGGCATTGTCTGAATCAGGATGGCTTAGAAATAAGCGTTATACAACTGGATTATATTATTTTGAAAGATGAATTTAAGAATAGAAGAGAGTAAACTAATCAATTGGTAATATGATAACAGAGGTAGAGAAGAAAAGAGATAGAGTAAGAGATAAATAGTTTACTCTGGAAGTTTCTGTGTTCCTACTAGCTTTCATATAGCTGTACATTCTTCTTCACCACCTTTTAATTAAAGCAATCTCTGAGTTTGTCTTTGAGCCAAGCAAGTTTCTAACTAGCACGTGGGTGTCCTCAAGATTTCAGGCTTAGATGTAACTTCATGTTCTTCAGTCATGGGTGATAAAGATCTGCTTCCGGACTAATGAAATTTGCAAATCTCCAGCTTAAAATCAGCAAGGTTTTCTTCTCACTTTTCATGTTCACCACGAGATGGCTGAGACTCTATTTGCATTACCATCACCACAAGATCACCACACTTTGGAACAATGTAGATTGCCATGGCAAAGATAAAGGGGGTTCCGGAATGTCTTGCATCAGTAATTAAATGTTATGCCCACAATTCACTGGCAGAACACACCATGCAGTACAATCCAACCACAAGATCAGGATGTACAATTCCATCACTCACCTAAGAGAACAGGAAATACTTCGTACACCCACTACCATTCACTCAATCACAACCATGGCTTTAATTGCTCTTGTACCTCAACATGAATACTTCTAGGGATAATAGAACATCACATTTGCATGGTATTCTCAGACATCTGAAATCTAAAGTAACACAACAGAGCCTTTTATTTTCCTTATAAACCTTATAAATGGGTCAGTGTCCCATTATCTATCTGCTACCTCAAATATGTAACCCAAGTGTTATTTGACTTCTTTCGTTTAATAACCAGTCATCAATCTCAGAGCTGGCTTCTATGTAATCTATCCCCATCTAACTCCACCACCTTTCTGTAACTTTCGCTCCTCATAGATCCTTTTCCAGGAAATTCCAAGCCCCCTTTCTTGTTTCTCATTCTTCATTTGTTTTCCTATAAACTGAACAATTTGTACATTCAACAAATATTTGGAGTGTTTATTAAAGAAGTAGTAGTTCCACCTTGAAAAAAAATCAATCTACAGAGTGACAGGGATATAAAAAGCTACAACATAATGAGGTCAATGTGGTAACAGCTGTGTAGAAAGCAGCCTGGGCGAGGAAGAGAAACACCAAGCTGGGTGTGAGGATGAGAGGGAGGCAGAACGGGATGCTTCTAAAAGTGAAACTTCAGCTAAAGGCTGAAGAGGCCTAGCAGCTGCTCCTCCAGGTGAACCACAGGAAAAGGTGGTGGAGGAAGACACCAACGCTTGGAGGTGGAATGAGCAAAGGCGTGATGAGAAAGGATCCAACCTAGTCAGTTAGTGGGCAGGCAGCTGGGTGTGAGGCCACCCCACTACTGGGTTGAAAAACCGAAAAGGAAGAGCAAAGTCTATGACGAATAAGGCTTTTATTGGTGGCTATAAACACACTGTTGAATACTAATTTCACGTTTCATTCTAACCGAGTTACTTTACCTAATCTTTACAACAATTTTAGGAGATAAGGTTATACTATTATCTGTATTTTAGAAGTGAAAATGAAACATGGAGGAGGTTCGAGTGACACTAAATCCGTTTTGCATCCTAGTGCATGTTGCCATCTACCAAGCTATGCTACTTGAGTGGCTGCGGGAATTCCACCTGGGTATGTCCACAGGCTGTGGCAAGAGAAGTTGGGGAGACACACTGCGTGGGGGCAGAGGAGTGGAGGAGGGGTTGTCAGCAGCTCATGGAAATGGGGGCAGGGTCATGAGTGCTTTGATACGAAGATAGCTCAGGAAACCCTGAAAAGGGAAGAAAGAAAGGGGACTCCAGTAACGGCAACCTTAAAGGGCCAAAAAGAGAAAAAACAGGAAAAGTGTTGGAGAAGGCGCCACGGGATAGGGGGCAGCCTCAAGAAATGCCTTTCCTTCGTGTGTTCCGCAGACCAGTGGCTGGCACTGGGTGAAGGACCTCTGGGCTTAACGCGGGCTCTTTCTGTCCATTGGACTCCCACCTCATCACTGCACCCAAAGCTTGGGCAGTCAGACACGCCCTCACTGGACAGAGCAAGAGTCCCTCCTCCCAGTACGGCTCCAAGGCAGCTCAAGATGTGAGCACCCTTCGCGTGAGCGAGGACTGCGGAAATCACAGGAAGCACTGGTGCATTCCACGCAATCGGTTCCCACCAGGTGGGGGAGCGGCTTGGAGCCCCAAACAGATGCGTGCGCTGACACGCAGGCACTCACGCGCCTGTGACTCCCGGCCTGGCCAGGACCCATGCCAACTAACCCCGGCGGGCGCCTCAGTCCCCGCACCTCGCCCCCGTCTCTGAGTCCCTCGCCTCAGCCCCCGGCCCGACCTCCTCAGCCCCTCGCCCCTCGCCTCAGCCCCCTCGCCCCTCGCCTCAGCCCCCTCGCCCCTCGCCTCAGCCCCCGACCCTGCTCGGCCCGCTCGCCCCTCGCTCCGTCCCCGTCCCCGTCCCGACCCTCCTCAGCCCGCGCAGGGGCCTCGCGCGTCACGGAGGCGTGGCCAGGACGCAGCAGGCGCGCGCCCGGCGGGCCCGAAGGGGGCGTGCAGGGCCCACCTCCGCTCGGCCGCCCACTCGTCGTCGCCTTCCTCGGGGCCGCCCCCCCCGCCCCCCCTCGTCTCCTGAGCAGAGGCCGGCCAGCAGGGCGCCATGCAGGGCCGACGCCTGGCGGGCGCCTCGGCCGAGGGACTGGCCGGCTGAGGGGGGTTGTGGGGAGGCCCGCGGCGGGCCGAGGCCATGCGGGGCCCGGGCGGCGGGAGCCTGCGGCAGGCGCAGCCCCGGCTGGCGCAGCCCCGGTTGGCGCAGGCCCGCGCCGAGCTGCCGGCCCTGCGGGCGCTGCCGCGGGCGGCGGGCGGGGACGAGCCGGGGCAGCGCCTCCCTCGCGGGGGCGGGGCGAGCGCGGCGGCGGCGGCGGCAGCGGCAGCGGCGGTGGCGGCCGCGGCCTCCGGCGCCCTGCTCGGCGCCTATCTGGAGCGCCACGGTCCGGCCGCGGTGGCCTCGGAGTTGCCGGCGCCGGGCGGGGCCTTGGCGGGCGGCCCCGGCAGCGGCGGGGTGGTGGTCGGCGTGGCGGAGGTGAGAAGCTGGCGCTGCTGCTGCCTCCTCGGCAGCACCTGTTGGTGCCGGAGCCTCGTGCTGGTCTGCGTGCTGGCCGCCCTGTGCTTCGCTTCTCTGGCCCTGGTCCGCCGCTACCTGCAGCACCTCCTGCTCTGGGTGGAGAGCCTCGACTCGCTGCTGGGGGTCGTGCTCTTCGTCGTGGGTTTCATCGTGGTCTCGTTCCCCTGCGGCTGGGGCTACATCGTGCTCAACGTGGCCGCCGGTTACCTGTACGGCTTCGTGCTGGGCATGGGTCTGATGGTGGTGGGCGTCCTCATTGGCACCTTCATCGCCCATGTGGTCTGCAGACGCCTGCTCGCCGCCTGGGTGGCCGCCAAGATCCAGAGCAGCGAGAAGCTGAGCGCCGTTATTCGTGTGGTGGAGGGCGGAAGCGGCCTCAAAGTGGTGGCGCTGGCCAGGCTGACCCCCATCCCCTTTGGGCTTCAGAATGCAGTGTTTTCGGTGAGTGCTGTCCCGCTGGCCTTGGGCCTCTCCGGACTGGGAGCAGCCCTGGGAGGGCGCTGCGGCCGGCGGATACCGGCGGGGAAGTGACATTGACAATGGGGAGTTACAGTTAGTTTCCATCACGCCTCCTTCCCCCCACCCCCTTCCCCAGTTGAGAGCGCTCCAGAGAGAGCTAGAGAGCTAGAGCGAGAAAGGGCCTGCTTGGGACTTCTGGCGGAAAAAGAACTACTGTATTCCTTTTCAGGACGCCGGTTTGAGTAGCAACGGATTCCTCGGACCATATGGTGGGGGCGTGAGAGGATGTGTCCACTTCTAACATTGGTCGTCTGATTGCCGCGGCCGCGTTGGCAGCATCTTAGGGAGGAGGGAGGCTTCCCGTGCCTGGGTTTATTTTGCCCACGTAAATGCGTCCAGGGCTTTGACTCACGTTTTTAACTGCTTGGGGCTGAAGCAAGCATTGTGAGTACACAGTGCAAGGGATGGTTGGAGATTCCGGATTTTGGAGTTCCCTGCATTACTAAAGGCAGTTAATTTTGATACAGTGTACAGGAGAAAGCGCTTGGGTTTATCTAATTTTGGGCCAACTTCAATTTGAAATCAGAGTGATGAATAAAGTACTTGTGTGCTCAATGAGCATGCCTTTTTGTGCTGCGCCTCGGGTCCTGTGCGTGTTGGCCCCAGGTGTGTCACATGCACCTGCATGTAGCTGGTTTAGGAGAGAAGCACGGCTGGCCTAGAGACCACCTTGCCTTTGGAAGGAAGGAAGGAAGGAAACAGGTCTTCCTAAAGTTTATGACTTTGGAGACAGATTCCTAATGATGTGGCTTCAGGTCCGTTCCTCTTTTCTGAAGTGAGGGACTTCAGCAAGCCAAGTTCCTTAACTTCAGTGAATCTCAGCCCCAGAGTCCACTCAGATTCTCAGCAACTCAGTCTTTGAGTTAGACTCGAAGGCAGCCGTGTGCTGCAATTTTGATGTGTGATTTTCCTGTTCTCCAGGTGGGTGCCAACCCCTGACCTCAGCTGTTAGCGCACATTCTTGTGACTGGTGAAGCCAGTCCTGCACACAGAGCTCACGCACCTCCTCTGGGCTGCAGTCTCCTGCTTAAGGGTGTGGGGTGGGGGCCCTGGGAGCAGGCTGCTTGCACAGACGCTGCTGACCTCGGTCAGCTTGCTTCTCCTCTGTACTTCAGGTGGAGAAGAGTCCTTAAAAAGCCCAGAGGCAACCGACCTTGATGTTAACAAAACACTCAACTCTTGTCTTCCCTAGCTCCTTTTGTTATCTCTCGCCAAGGTCACACAGGTAGTAAATAAATAATGGGGTCAGACTTTGAACTGAGGCCTGTTGGGAGTGTTTCAGCCCAGGGTCTTCTGTTTCTTCCTTGCACACGGAGTAAGACCTCATTACGCTGATGGAAGTAAAGGCAGACTTTGGTGTTACAGGGCTTGGAATCAGCTGGTAGGGTGCGTCTGACTGTAAAAAATGTTTTCTCTCTTAAGATTGATTTATTGATTTGACAGAGCTACAGAGAGGGAGAGACAGAACCGAAGAGATCCTGTGTCTGCTGGTTCATTCTCTGGATGGCCACGATAGCCAAGGCTGAAGCCAGGAACCAGGAGCTTCTCATCTGGGTCTTCCCCATGAGTCCTAGGGGCCTAAGCCCTTGGACCATCTTCTGCTGTTTTTTTTTATCAGGTCATTAGCAGGGAGCTGGATAGAAAATAGGTAGTTGGGACAAAAACTGGCATCCATGTGGGATACCGGCATTGCAGGCAGGAGCTTTACCCACCTCACCACAACACTGGTCCCAAAATTCTTGCTCTTTAGCCATTAACAAGGGTGTTTTGTAAAGCACCCAATGTGGTCCATTGTATCATGTTCATCCTGCTATTTGGAATTGTATGCTTGCAGAAGCAAGCTTGTTCCACCACAGCAGTTCCTTGAATTCCCCCAGGGCATATAAGAGGAAAGAAATTGTGGTTTAGGCTGATGTTTTACTTTCTCTGCTTCATCACCTCTGGCTGCCAGCAGCCTCCTCTCCAGGCTTTTATCTCTAGTTTTCTACTTCTCTCCCTACTTTTGAAATGATCCCATGGTTCTTTATTTAGTTCTGTTTAAACCTCATTTTCATAATTCCTACCATTAAATTGATCACAGTTTACCCCAGGAAGAAGGTAGGTACTGTGGTCATGAGAGCCAGGGCCTTGGACAAAGACAGTCCTTGATGAGTCTGTGCTCTGTGGCCTTCTGCCAAGTTTCCTTGTCTGTAAAATGGAGCTGTTGGGGTCAAGTAAGCTAATACAGTGAAGGCGTCAATGATTGTTACCTGGACCATAGCCATGTCTCAGTAATGATTGGATATTATTAGTGGTGGAGGCGGTGGTATTTATATTTTAGAGGCTGGGCCTGATTGTAAAGGGTGGGTATGGGCAAGGAAGAAAGGGGGCATTGCCTTGCTTCCTATCTATTTTTAACTATAGTTCTTTGCTTCTCCTCTGTGTCAAAAAACTGACACTCCACTTTTGAAATTCTCAAATTTGAAAATATGCACATAACACATAACTTCTTAAGCCATAGAAATGTAAGTCTCAAGTACGTGCTTAAATTCTTCCCTCTTTCAAGAATGTACCCAGTGTTTCTGTAAAGAAAATGAGACCTTTTTGTTTTTTAAAGCTAAGCTTATAATTGCATGTAAATTGACTTTTATAGTTTTGCTTGAGAGAGAGAGGATCTTCCATGTGCTGATGGACTCCTCAAAGGGCTGCTGTAACCTGGGCTGCAGCTGCAGCTGAGAGCCAGGAATGGTCCAGGTCTCCTACGTGGATGTCACGGACCAAGCACTTGAGCTATCACCTGCTGCCTCCCCGGGTGTGCACTAACACCTGGAGCTTGAACCCAGGCAGTCATTGGTGTGAGTCCAAACATTTGTTTCCAGTTTTTTCATTTGTAATCGTGTATCTTCAAGTCTTGCTGCCCAGTAAGATGAATACCTAAACATGTAGTTGTGTTTCTAAATGCTGCTCTTATGGGGTATGTTCCAAAAGTGACCTTTATTGCTTTCTAAATTACCCTGCAGTAACAACTGGTCAAACTTGGTAGATTAAAAAGCAAAGGATTTTTATTTTGCACAGAACAGTTTCAGTTTGAACTTAATTGTCTTTTTTTTTTTTTTTTAACCCTCCCTCCCCTGCCCCTGGATCCAAGCCAGCAAAGCCACCATCTTAGACTTACTGTTGTGGCATGGCAAATTATATGCTGGATTTTCGTTTCCTTGTGTAAGTAGCCTTTTTGCTGGCCTGAGCAAATTATAAAGTGACAACTGACTTCAAAGGGGGTGGTGGGTGTGTCAGGAAGGAGAGAACTGGGGCATTTGGTAGCACCCTGAAAGTCCCTGGCACTTGACTGTCACCGTTCTGTTGTTCCCGTGTCTCGTCGTTGGCTAAGTACTGTGTCTTTTGCTGCCTGCACACATCAGCCCACTCCAGGTGTACAGCCTGCACCTGGTCCCCACTCTGCCTTGGCTTTCCCACCTCAGTTCTGTCTGGGAAGATCTTTCTGTAGTGCCTTTGTGATCTTAGTTGGTTGTCACCTGCATGAAATCCTTCAAAGGAGTTTTCTTTTCCTTCCTTGGGGGTAAATTCTACACCATTGTGGGCTCACCTCACTGGCCTCTCTCCGGCCATTCCACGGTGAATTTCTGTGTGCCCTTTGATGTGTTAATTCCTGTAATCCTCACCACCCTAAGAAGTAGGCGTGGTATTTCCGATTTAAGGGTAGAAAGTAAAACTCTAGGTTTTCAAAGTTCGAGTTCTTCTTTTCGTCAGTTACCAGAAAAAGTAGGTATGGATCAGTAAGAAAGGAAAATTGATACAGATGTGGAAGGAACTGGAATCCTAAAAAGAGGAAACCTACCCAGAAGAAAGTTGTTGAAAAAGTTGAAAATCAGAGTAGCATCCTATTCTGTGTTTAGGAAGCATTGAGAAATGACCTCCTAAGGTCTACCCTGCGATTCCCTCGTGGAGACCTGTAGTTTTAAAGCTACCTCCCTGTGACAAGTTATCTTAAATCTAAAAACGGGACGAAATTTTTGGTTATGACAGGTAACAGAATTCACAGTGGTGCTTGCGACTTCCAAAAGGGTGAGGAGATCCCAAAGGTCAGGCCCTGTCTCTTGTCACTTGAACCAAAGAAAGGAACCTTAAAAAATCAAATAGTGTGTGTATAGTGGTCTGTTCTTAAATCCACATCAGAAGACTTTTTTTCAGCCATTGTTAAATTTTAAAATGTGAAGCACAGTGTGAAAGCCCTCTTCCTGTGGTGTATACTGCTGTGCAGTTTATAGAGCACATTGTCACAGCAGTCCCTGAGGAGGGATCAGAGCCCAAGTAGCAGTTTGGAAAGGACAGCTCTCACAGCCTTGAAATCGACTTGATTATAACCTAGACCAGGTCAACCTGAGGTAGTTCATCTTTTTTTTTTTTTAACTTACTTGAAAGGGAGCAGGACAGATAGATCTTCTGTGTCCTGGTACATTCTCCGGAAGGCCACGACAGTGGAGGCTGTGCCAGGCCAAAGCCAGCAACCGCACATTTATCCAGATCCCTCACGTGGGTGGCAGCCACGCACGTATTTGAACCTTCCTCAGCTAACCTCGCCCAGTGTGCGTGAGGAGAAAGTGGAGCAGGCAGCCCGAGCAGAGGCGCTGGTGATATAAAATCCAGGGGTCCCCAACAATGCCATAAACTGTGCCAGGCACCCACTGCTCATCTTTTGAATCGTTCTGTTGAAAAATATGTTCAATTATACCTGTTGTAGTGAAATACTTAGTTTGTTTATTATTATTCTGTTCTCTGCATTCCAAATTGAAGAGATTAGCTCAAAGTTTTTTGTTTAGCAAAATCTTTACCATGTTCTTTGTGTACGCATTCTTATTTAATGCTCATCTCAACTTTGATCCCCTTCTTATAACTGAGATGGTTAACATGCAAAGTGGTGAAGT